ATAATAATAATATTAATAATAATAATAATAAGTAAAAGAAAAAGAAGAGGAGAAAGAATAAAAACGAAGATAAGAGTATGCATCGCAATCAATCGTCGTTATTCTACGTATCTTGAATAATCGGTGTACGTATATGCATATATTATGTAGTTACGTAGATTACATCACAATATAGTTACACTGTACATTAATAATATTGACACTCGTATCAGTGTGTGAAAATGTGGCCACCGTGTATGTATATATATTTATATAATATATATATATATATGAGAAGTGTATATGTGTATACGTGTACCATGTGTTTGTGTGTATGTGCGTGTGTGCGTGTGTGTGTATTTCTTCTTCTCTTATTTCTCTCTTCTGTGTGCACAACATGCGTTATTATCCATGAAATATATCGCTGATACATTGTACAAATCCATTATATACATAAAATAAATTATTATCAACATTAAGCTAGCTAATCTACCTGTCGCCTGTCGGTTTTTTCTTTTTTTATCTTCTTATTTTAATTTTAATTCTAGTTTTAATTTTAAATTTTATTTTTTTACTTCTCTATGTGTTCTTTTTCTTTTTTTTTTTTCTTTTACTTGTGTTTCTCTCTTTAGCGAGCCCTAACAGAACGCACGGGCACAGATACATTGCTGATAATTCTTTCTTTCTTTCTTCCTATCTCTCTCTCACTCTCTTTCATACATAAACACAAACATACGCAAATCACATACATTCGTAAATAATACAATTCATTCGTTCTCTCGTTCTATCTTATTTTTATCTTTAACACGTTCGACGAATATTTCGCAACTCAAACCACACTCTTTTGTCTCTCTCTCTCTCTATCTCTCTCTCTATTTCTCTTTTATTAATTAATTTTTGTCAATTTTTTTTTTTTATTAACCCTTCCTTCCCATTCTCCCTACTCAACCCACCACACACCTTCTCTTTCGTACTCTTTATAAAATTATTACGTTAAAAGGTACCGCGGTATAATAATAGTAATAATAATAATAATAATAATAATAATAATAATAATCATAATCATAATAATAATAATAATTGCACTGATTATAAATAACACGAGGAGAAAAAAAAATAATAATAATAATAACGCGAGTGAAAAAAGAAAACGTAAAATAATTATCATCGAGTTAACACGTACGTACGCACGCACACATTCATACACATATACACACACACACTAAGGACGACTCGAAGAAAAAAACCTTCAAACATTCCGCGAAACTTTTGACTCTGGCCCCCTCCCAACCCCCTTAACTCCTTAACACCCTCCCGCCCCGAAAACCCCGCGAAAACGTTATTTGGCACATAAGTAATTATATCACATCCGGTTTTGCTTCATTAACCATCACCATGTTGTTTTTTCTTAACGAAAAGCTCACTCATTTCTTTCTCCCCCCCCCTCTCTCTCTCTCTCTCTCTCTCTATCTCTCCTTTTCTCTTTTATTTTTTCTTCTATTATTTTGATACGCACAAACGATTCGATATAAACGTTTATTATTGATAATTATAATTAATAATAATAATAATATCCTTTTATATCCTAGACTAACCTCCATTCTGTCCCTTTCATGTAAAACTCAATCACACGTCGTCATCATCAATAATAATCGTCATAAAATTATCTAACATCGAATCGAGATCAATCTTTATATATTTTTTTTTATATTTTTACTTTCCCTTCTTTCTTTTTCTTCTTGTTCATTTTTACAACATTGTCCGTTGTTGTAGTGTTGTTAAATAAAAATAAAATTTAAATAAAAAAAATAAAATAAACATAATATTTATAATTTCTTTCTTTTCTAACTTTATTTATACGTTCGTTTATCATCAATCACCATCATTAAACAAAAATAAATAAAATGTTAATAACTTTAACCAACCACCCCCTACCCACTTCTCTTCCTTCCTAAGCTTACGACGTTTCTTTTTATTATACTCTTATTCTTATTCTTATTCGTATTATTATTATTAATATTATTATTATTATTATTATTATTATTAATATTATTAATATTAATATTATTATAATTAGTATTATTATTATAATTATTAATATTATATTTGTCGTTCTTTATTATCCGTACCTGTTCGCTCGTTTCTTTTTTAAATTACAACAAAAAGAGAATATTTCCCGTAACAATTTTTTAATATTTCTCTTTTAATAATAATTCGTATTCTATAATTATCAATTAAATTAAAAAAATATGATCGAACAATAAATTAATGACGAAACGGGGAAAGGGCCATAAGTACCTAAGATTTCTTTCTTTTTTTTTATTATTATTATTATTTCCCCTATCCTCTATCTACTTGGTTTCTTTCTCTCCCTCTTCCTCTCTTACTCTCTCCCCTTCTCTCTTTTCTTTTTTATATTTACTTTTTTTCTTTATTTTTTATAGAAGAATTTTTTTATACGTTCCTCCAGATAATTATCGTTAGTAAAAAATCGACGATAATCGATTTACAATATCAATTGTTTAAATATTATTCTTACATTCAATCTCTCTCTCTCTCTCTCTCTCTCACACACACACACACGCAGCAACAGTACTACGGATAAAATCGTGTATTGTTTATTATTTCGAGCCGATAACGCGCGACACACATTAGAAGGAATTAGGAACCAGACCTTTTGCACTAGAGCGACGCGTTCGTGTTTATCTCTCGAACGAGTAAAAGGATCGAGAAAAATCAAGAAGATGTAGAAGAATATTAAGAAGATAAAAAAGGGTAGAGAAAGAGAAAGAAGGGGGTAAAAGAAAAAAGACCAAAAAAATAAATTAAAATTGAATTACAAAATTGCATTGATTACGATTTATAACATTTTTTTTTTCTTCTATTATTTAATAATAGCTAAAGGACGATGATGATACATAAACGTTATTTTTTTTTTTTTTTATTAACTTTTTCTCATAGAAATTGTTTGATTATGTTTTGAAACATTAAGTGACGTTTAAATAGATTTTATTGTTAAAAATGTAAAAATGGCACGGATAGAAAAGAACGAGAGAAAAAGTAACAAAATATAACTTCCAAAACAAATACAAAGGAGAAAAAATATTATATCACATATGTTTTGAAACGTAGAGTCTAGAGAATTTAACATTTATTTTTATTTTTCATTCTCACTCTTTCTCTCCCTCTAGCACTCTCTTATTTTCTTTCTTTATCTCTATGTCTTTAGAGAAACAGAATAATAATAATAATAATAATAATAATAATAATAATAATAATAATAATAATAATAATAATAATAATAATTAATAATTAATAATTATACATTTAATATTAATAATAATAATCATAATAATTATAATAAAAAGAAGAAGAAATAGTAGAAGAATAAAATTTCTGGAGAATAAGAAGCTCGAGAAGAGACTAAGGAGAAAAAGAGTATGATCGAGCGTGTTGTTTATTCGACGAGTGCGCTTAGTGTGCGTGGGAGATGTAGAAGGAAAAGAAAGAAGAGAAGGAAAAGGAGTATGATGAGTATAAGTATGAGGATTAGGATAAGGATGAGGATGAGGAAGAGGAGGAGTGCGCGGGCGCAGCTTTGGTTACCAATACAACTCGTGGCCGAGTCTGGAGGAGGGCGAGCAAGATGACGAAGTGGTGGACGACGAAGCTGCTACCGCCGCCGCTGCAGCAGCTGCAGCCGCTGCTGCAACCGCCGGATACGCCGAGGACGAGGAGGACGAGCTGGTGGAGGTCGAGGAAGAAGGTGGTAACGCCGTTGCTCCGGGTGGCCATAGGTTTTGGCCAACCGGAGCAGCTACGTTTCAATCCTCGTCGTGATGCCGTGGACTGGCGTCGTAGCCACCGATCGAGCCCGAATTATCCGGTGAAAAGTTCATCATGTCACTAGGGGAAAGACTGTCCTGAGGGTAATAAAATGATGGGTGATCGGAGCTTGGGCCAGCACCACCGACACCACCACCACCACCACCACCACTACCAACACTACCACCACCACCACCACCATTACCACCACCAACAACACCACCACCACCTCCGCCGTTTAACATCGTTGCCGGGGGTGAAACGGACGGTCTACCTGATGGACCAGCTCCACCACCGCCACCTCCTCCACCTCCACCACCACTTCCGACGTGATGTTGAGAACTCATCTCCGAACCGACCGGCGATAAAAAGCCCATCTCTGGGCCACCTTCTCGACACCATAGTTGTCTCATTTCTTGACGTCGTTGTCGCATCAACGATTTGTATTCGGATATGCGCATCTTCTTTCCGTCAACTATACATGTCCGTTTTGGTCGCGGCCTGTACCTGTAGTCCGGGTGTTTTTCCATATGCAATTTTGATAGTCTGGATTGTTCTTCATAATACGGTTGCTTTTCCGAATTAGACATCGCCTTCCATCGGGCACCTGATGACAAATTTTATATTTTTATGTTTCACTTTAATCATAATTAGATTTAATTTTGTTTTCTTAAATTAATGTTATATTTACCGAGTATCTTTGATATGTTGGAATTGTGCATGTCGGGACAAGCTTTGAGGATTTTCCGTCTCTCGTCCTTGGCCCATACCATGAACGCGTTCATAGGTCGTTTTATGTGTGGTTTGTTCTCACCCTCCCTTTTCTGCTGCCTCACCATTTTAGCTGAAGAAAGAAGAAGCCCTGGATGTCATGTTGCGCGCGATTAACGTCGTGAGAACAGAATCTGATTTCGTGAGCGACACCTGCCCCCTACTCTACTATCTATCCACATTCTCTTTCACATTCACATTTATACATTCTCTCATACTCTCATTCTTTCTTTCCTTTTCTTTTCTTTTCTTTTCTTTTCTTTTTTTAACTCGTTCGCACTCGCGGTTAAAACAAGAACGTAATATCAACCCGATTCGTATCTCAACGATCTGCTTACCTTTTTCTGTTATGTCTTCCGGCACCTTATATCCGGGATCTCGCCACACTGCAAACACACGATAAGAGGCGTTACTTATAACTAGCTGCCGGGAATTCTATTATACTTATGCTTTAGATAATATCACCGGTGTATATTGATTTCATAAACATAACTCTCTTTCTTTCTCTATCTTAAGGTATATGTATAACGTAAATTATAAAAATAATTAATCATTTCCAACGATCGTATTGTATACATAGGTAGCCCTTTTCTTACAATATGGTATCCAATAACACACGGATTTGTTATAATACGATATTAAATTGCTACAAATTTTTGTACAATACTGTACTTCTGCAAAATTGAATAACAAAACTAAATTATTTTAAAACAATGACGCGAAGTAATAAAGAATTCTGGGTTTGACACAATACACCATTTTCTAGGAACCTATTAATCGTGTTACAGGAAGGATTACATCTGTATTACATTTATTTATTAATACGACACGCATATATTTTTCTTCTATATAATATAATACGTTCGAATATTCGTTTATAAAATTCTCCACACAATCTATCAAGAGAATAAAAAAAAACAAAACAATTTAAAAAAAAAATGTACACTCACTGTGAGAAGACGAAAGGAAATCTTGTTCCTCTTGTGGCGTGTCCTCTCGAGAGCCAGGATGTTTGATTGGTCGTTGCGTTTGAGGCGAGGGTGGCATAGCACCCGCGTTTGGTGGCAACCCATAAATTCCGTGCATCGCAAAGTGCTTTTCAACTGCTGCAACTGCCGCAGCTGCAGCGGAACCTCCAGGTCCACCAGCTTCGTCTTTGGACATTACCTTACCCACTGTGTTTAACATCAAAAAATAATTTTTTTATTCTCAACTATATTATAAATATATTACAATATTAATTATGTTATTCAATCCTAACAAAATGATTAATAAAAATATTGATAAATGAAACAACTCACTAGGCGAAGGTAGGGAGCTAAGATGTGGTGGAAGACCAGCGTAGGGTAACGTTGACAGGTAATTCCTGGGTATTGGAAGACCAGGAGGAAAAAGTTTAGGTGCTGTAGCAGCTAATGGTTGTTCCTGTTGACCGCTACTACCGGCACCGGTCGAATGCGAATCACTACCAGGCGACGAGGAAGACGCTGTCGCACCAGACGACGAGGATTTCGGTTTGGTGAGGTTCAATGGTGCATCGAGATCTTGTAAAGGTGCAGCAGTAGGTGCTACTGCCGATGATATTGGCGTAGGCGACGAATCTTTTTCCATTTGCGTCGTCATCTGCGCTAAATGTGCGGTTGCCCAGCTTGGACCTTCCCGGTGGCTACCAATCATCTGTTGAGAAATATAAATATATTCATATATTTATATTTTTTTTATTTGTTCTTTTTTTTTTAAATATTATTTCATTATATTATTACTTATATAAATAAATGTTATATATATAAATCTTAAGTTATAATAATATATAATAGATTACATTATTAGGGTAAACTAAAAGTAGGCACGTTCCTAAATTAATATTTCCAAAATAATTTTACCAAAACCAATCCATTGTGCACCTTATAACACAATTTATAATACAATAAAGATACGAGTTTTTAATTAACCCTAATAACAAAAAATATTACAACAAAATCGTAAACAAATTAGATCAGATGACAATGGATTGGTAAACGTATCGAACGCACACGGATGGAAATGATTGGAAAAAACAAATGTTTCATCGAAATGTATTATATCTTTTGTTAAGAAAATTGATTTTATAATTGAAATAAAGAGAAACATATTTTCTAAGTAATAATATACGTACATTGGCGATAGAATTGATATGCTTGTTGCCAGTGGGCGCGGTCGAGGTGGCCGGCGGTGGTGGCATCGTTGACTGGACCGGTGGTAGCCTGAGTTGTTCGAGAAACGGTAGGAACATCAACGATTGCGGTCCCGACATGCTCAGCGGATTCTTTGTCATTTGCGCTTGCAACTCTTGTATGTTACGTTGCATTATGTGTTCTTGTTGCCGTTTCAAGTGTTCCGATTGCATCTGTTGCATTTCCATTTGTTTTTGCGAGTCTACGCTCATGTGAGGTGCATATGACTGAAATTATATTAAACACAGATTAAATGTGAAGAATAAATGTGAATTGTTAATTTTAATATTTCCAAAAAAAAAAAAAGAAAAAAAGAAAAACATAATTAAATCTTAAAATATTATCCTAGCTCATTTATTATTTATGGAAACGTATTTAAAAGTTAATCGTTATGCTAATGGCAGTTGTTATTGTTGATTTTTTTATTTTTATTAATTTACATTTAAATAATGAAACATTTTTTACGAACATTTTCTATTTCTTTTGATATACGTAAGTATATTAGTATTACATAAGTATATGATTATTTTCAAAAAAATAAAAAAATAAAAAGAACATTGATTGACGTACGATCAACAATAACTATGTAATCTTGTCGTTTATGTTAAAAAGCCGGATATTTCTTCTTTTTTGTGTGTGTGTGGGTTTCTTGGTTTTTTTCTTATAACCACATCACACTTATAAATGAAACAATGATTAAATATATCGATGAAAGAATATTCACAAATAAACGACAGGATGAAAGAATATTCACAAATAAACGACAGGATTGTGTGCATCGCAAACACAAACGTTAACTAATTTTATTTCAGATAGAAACTAGAAATAATATTTCTTTTGTAATCAAACGGAAAACTCATTTTATAACTAGTAAAGCCAGTATTGTAACATTGTTAGAAATAAAAAAATTATATCCTCATTTTAATCAAAATTATGCACGGTTTACCCTAATTTATTTTTTCCAACTCGTTTCAAACCCATTATTAATAAGAACACATTATAAATGTGTTACGACCTTGTTTTTATTGTAAATACAAAGACAAAGTATCGTTTTTTCTCTCACGATTGTGTTATATAGATTCTAATTATTGTCACGATCATTTATAATATCATTACCGATTACATACCTTTAATCGATTTTAACGAGAAAATAATAATACGAGAAAGAAAAAGGAAATAAAAAACCTGATCGAATTTGAAATTCAATAATCTGTGATTTAACCAACACTATTGAACATTTTTGTTTTGTTTCCTTTGCTTTGTTTTGTTTTGTTTAAAATTGTATAAGAACAATTAGATTATGAATTATTTAGTATGTTAACAAATTTTTTTGATCAATGATACAAGAGAACATATTATTAAGATTATCTTATGTGATCTGTGTCAAGTTAGTGAGTGTATTTTAAATGCAAAAAATAAAAGAGACAAGGATAAAGGTAAATGCAGAAAACAAACAACGGATGATATTTCATTGGAGGCAATGAAAATAAAATATATAACAAGAATAGTGGGAAATAGAAGAAGAAAATAAATCTAATATATATAATACACGAAATTTGATCGCAAGTAAATCGTATCTCTTATGTTGGCAAGTATCGATTAAATACAAAGGGGGCAAGGATAAAACAAAAGTGCTACTACTATTATAGAGTTCAAGATAACAACCATTAGTTTTCTGTTAGGATAATTGGTCAATGTATTATCCTCGAAGTACCATCGTCATCATCATCAACGATAAAGAATGAATCGTGTTTAAACTGTGTGAACAATGATCTTTGTTACACCTTCGACAAAGGTTAATCGTTAATCGTTTTAATTTATGTTTACGAATGTTGAGAAAGATTCTCTATCTTTCCATCTCTCTCTCTCTATATATATATATATATATCAATCTCCCATGAAATTTTTTTTTTTTTTAAGACCACAGTAACAATTTAACAAAGGTAATACCATTGTACTCTCTTACCTACAAGCTGGCTGGCTATGATCCAGATACGCTTGAAGTTTAAAGTCTATTTTAGACTATAAGGAAGACGTTTATTCATCCAGCCTCCGGGCACCACCAGCCCGGAGGCGTCACATGCAAATATTAGGTACCTATCTCTGCTCTCTTTTCCTCTCTATTCGTCTCTCTCTCTCTCTCTCTCCCTCTCTATAACTTGTTTTTTTTTGTTTCATTTCTACTCTCTAACCCGACGACACATCCTTCTCTTCTTTCTAGCAACATAGAGTGAGAAAGAGAAAAAGGGAAATTAATCCTAGATGGCTCGATGCTTTTAAAAGCGGAGATCGGTGAAAGTGATTTACGATTTGTACAAGACAAGTGCGTGTGTCCTTTGTCGTAACGACGACGATAGGACGTCGTTAAAACTAGGCATACGTGTGTTCGGTCACACAATGCTAAGAGTAAAATAGAATAAAGCTTCACCTTAATGCTTGTTCCTCCTGTTAGCGCTGGTATACCACGTATAAACTCGAATCGGTGACAAATTAAATCCTATTTTATACGTCGTACGTATATTCTCTCTTTGCTACTTCGATTTATTATTTCCTCTCTTCAACTTGGAACCGATTTCTAACGATTTTAAGACGTGTGAAAAGGTGAAACGATATTGCTAACACAAAGAGCCTAAAGAGGACGTATGGTGAATTATAGTTTTTACTTATACTAAATAAGACACAGCAACTTATCTTTTTAACTTTTACGACGACTAATCAACGATCGATGATTGTGGTCAACTACTAACGAACAGATTGTCAATTACTGGTTCTTTTCAGTTTCACAAATGGTCAACTTCTGATGTAGTCATTGACTTTCCATCAATGTTTATGACTTTTGTGTACCACAACTTTTTTCGTTATACATATTTTTTTGTTATATATGTGATAACATTCAAAGTTCAAAGAATATCTTCACGCATCGGGACCTAAAAATGCAATTAGTTACCATTATGTAAAATAAACATTTGTCTTAACTGGTCAACTACTGGTGCTTTTACCTTCATTATTTTTTTTTATATCCTACATTAATTAAAAAAAAAAAAATAATAATAAATGTCACCTAATCGATAACAATGTTATGTAAAATTTGAATTAGAATTTAATCGAATAATTTTCTTTTTAAATCATACGCATCATGTGTGTATCCAAGTAACAATTGGGATTCTCCAATCCGAAGAAGAAGCAAAAGTAGAAGAAGAAGATGAAGAAGAAGATGATGAAGAAGAAGAAGAAGAAGAAGAAGAAACGGCAAAGTGGAGAAGCCGATGGAACTTCATTATTCATTTGCAAAGTTCAGTTATGCCGATGATACGTATCCATGACAGCTATACCGCCCACAGGGGCTAAATATAAACAGGCGGGGTGCCAGCAAGTTCCATTCACATTCACGCACACAAGTTAACGGACGGTTTAGTAAGTGAGCATAAGAATATGAGGAGCCCCGTTCTGAATATGCATCCGCGCATTGACGCCAACTGCACCGCCTAAACTTAGCCACGCAATTACCGAAACATACCTACTACTACCCCATTACTATATACTAGAGGATCCCATATAATTGTCCTCCTAACCGGACAAAAAGTATTACATTCTAATAGAAACTTATTAACGAAAAGTATTCATTGACAGATCGTTAATACAAAGGAGAGGGGGTGGTTGTTGAGAATTAATTATTCCGATTGTAATCATTTATATTAATAATAATAATAATTATTATTATTATGTAAAATAAAGTTTTGTTAAACGTTTGACATTTTAAATATATGAGATATTCTTTCACAAAGAAGGAAGTGGGGAGGAAACGAAAGTTTAAAAGAAGAAAAAAAGATGACAGGAAAGAAATCTTATTAAGAACGAGATTGACTTTCTATGGGGATCCTGAGTGAAAGAGGAAAAGAAAAAAAAAGAAAGAGAGAAAGAGAGATAGAATACACGAGTAAGCTCGAGGATAAAAGCCGCGAAAATTTAGATCTAGATTTAGAATCGGAGGCACTGGAGTGCAAGGGGACATGCAGGATGACGTAGCCCCACCGGAAGTGGTTCATACTTCACGCGCGTTATAAAGACTGTCACTGGTGTACTGTCTAAAATTACGTCGCGGCCCGTCGACGTGGGTAACTTCGACGTGGACCGGGGTGAGGCAAGGATAAGCGAAACGAGATGAACAGAAAGAGAAAGAGGTGAACGAAACACGAATGAAAAGAGGAGAAAGGAAAAGGAAAAAAGAAAGAAAGAAAGAAAGAAAGAGAGTATGAGTGAGTGTATGAGTGAGTAAATATGTGTGTGTGTGAGAGAGAATCGTCACCGATTAAAATCCTGATAGCACGGTAATTCGTGGTTTGCTCGATTAAAAGGATCGATGTCGGTGCCGGACGTCGAGTTTGAACAAGTTGAATGTTCACCGAGAGAGAAAGAGAGAGAGGAAAAAAAGAGAAAGAAATAGAGTGGTAGAGAAAGAGAAAAGGAGGAAGGGGGAGGGGAGGAGGGAGTTAGAGAGAAAAAGAGAAAAAGAGAGTACGTGGAATGAGTGACTTGAATAATCGATCGATGGTGCCTGGAAGCATCATGGATCCCTCCCGGTGGTGGTGATGGTGGTACTGGTGGTAGTGGTAGTGGTGGTGGTGGTAGTGGTTATATGGGATGCAAAGTGAAACAACGGGCAGCGGGAGCAAACGACAAAAAGCGCTACTGCACTCTTAATGGAATTTTAAAAGAGAGGAGAGCGGAATTCGAGGATGACGAGGAGGACGAGCACCAGGGGTGGCCGTAGAATACATAAATTATGGAGCCGCTTTGAACGGGATTCGCTGCTACTCTTTCTCTCTTTCTCTCTTTTTTTTTCTCTCTCTCTCCCTCTCTTTTTACCTATCTCTATCTCTCTTTTTCTCTCTATCATTCTCTATCTCACTTATTCTTACTATCTTTCTTTGCTTCTTCTAACCGTTTCCATCGGATACGACTGCAATGAAACTTGTAAATGCGGAATCTAGGCCAACCGGAAGCGGTATTTTCGTGGCGGCGCTTTTCGCGTGGATGAAAATGATGATGATGATGATGATGACGATGAAGAATAAGAGGAAGAAGAAGAAGAAGAAGAAGAAGAGTGATCATGTCGTGTTGTCGTTCTATAGTCGTAATCGTACGGTCACCAACCATTGCCAGATAGTTATGTCTTTAGAAGAATTATTGGCCATTGCTGTGATCCATCCTAATAATTTCGTAAATC